TGAGATGATAATAATAATAATGATATAAATAAAATACACCCGTAAGGCGAACGGTCTGGACGGACGGACCAATATTGCGGCCCGGTTTACGACCGAGTCGGCTTTTACGTGCCAATAACAATAATGAAATACCAAAATGGATGCCGGTCGTCTTCGGTGCCGGCGAAGACACGCCGCGTGTGCTACATACAGCTATACCGACGCCCGCACGATATTGTTATACACAGACAACCTGCCGCACGCGCATAAAATAACACGTGGCCGTTTCCACTGGGGAACTGCAAGAAGGTCTATGCCGAAAGATTTAGGTTTCCCGTAGTTCCGTTCAAACGGGGGGGGGGGGTTTTTTTCTTCTACAAACGAACCTAACTTATCTAGGCCGACGAACGTCGCTCGTTCTTGAAATAAACCTCTGAGCAATGATTTCACTTCCATAGTATAATGGAACTTTTCCTCAAGGGACGGCGCGCAGTCGTCTCACTTATACGCCACACACACACATGTGCTTGTAGAATTGCCTACACCGTGCCTCTAAAAAAAAAAATAACTATAAGATTTGTATTTTGACACCGTACATTGTCATTTATGTGTATCCTGTTGTGTAATACGGCTGGCATAGTATCAGCAGCAAGTATGCTAGGCCTTGCGGTACTGAATTTATGAAATAGTAAAGGCACAATACTATATAGTTATAAAATAAAAAATAAACACATAAAGCTTTCGGTAACCAAAAAATCCCCAACCAAAATTTGTTACTACTAACAATGAGCTTTGACTTTTAATAAAAAAACAAAGGAATTGATTTCAGTGCACAAACATTGTGTATAATACATATAGGTATTCAAAGTATAAGGTATTGTAACTTGTTCTCAATAGATTTTTATAAGCACAAAAATATCGACATCATCGTAAAGTAATGTTATTTTTTTAATCATAAAATTTGGTGATATACTAATTTTTTTTCTTATACTTAAAAGTCATAAGAGGATCTTTAATATAATCTTATATTCGAATATCTGATGTTAAGTTATGCTGCGCCATGACCGATTTAATCAGTTTATGTGCCTAACATTTTAATTTTAATCTAATCGAAATGTGAATAGAATCAATAAAAATGTATAGGTACAAATAATAAGCTATTCCAGTTAAATAAAATGTGTCGAATAGGTTAGGTTTATACAAAGAGTTTGTGTATTAAAAAAAGGTTAATAAATTTGATTTTAAATAAATGCATACTAAAAATAAGTCTTAACCGACAAATAATCAAGGAGTATCATTAATGGGTGGTTTTTTCCATACAAGCCATTTATAATCTTTTTTCTACCAGTTCTAACACCTATTGAAAAATAATATATACAAATTGTATTATTTAGTATCGAATTTAAAAAAAAAAAGGACAATTGAAAATAGGACACGTCAAGATTTCCACTTAGTCCCTGCTTTTCCTTGCTCTGTTGTTTATTTTGTCTAAGAAAAACCTATATTTTTTTATTTAATCGAAGCTTTTGGACCTTAGTGAACTACACACACTTGTGTATACATGAACTTTACACAAAAAGTATAGAAGTCCCTGTAAACACTATTGCCATAAGTCGTACCATTCCGTCGTTGTTTGCTCAAAAGCAAAAACACAATGATTTAGAGCAATCGTTTTGGTAGGTTAGGTAAAATAGTTTTTCTAGTATCGACGTGTTTTCGAAGACGTTTAAAAATGCCCATACAAAACAAATAATATTTCTTAAAGATTTCTATTCATCAAGATAAATATAAATAGCTCGGATATATTTTATGCTTTAAAAAGGAAATAATAATATATTATTACATATCATCGAACAATTCAACCTTCTTCGGCAGCTTTATTTAAAAAAATAAAAAATAAATTAACTTATGTATGGAATATTTATCTCTTACATATTATTCGATTAATTAGCATTTAATTCAGTAGCACTATAGATTCGAGAATGTACTTAGAGTTATATTTTTTTTATTACTATTTATTATCTATAATTACTAGTTGTATTTTAACTATTATTTCAAATACAAGATAAATATGTAAGTTTGTTTTGAGATTTTCTTGACTTTGATGAGAAAGGAATGAAAGATTCGTTAAACTTCAGAGCCTTATGAGTACTTTGTAGGTATGATTTTTTATCTATAGACTTGCTATAATAATTATTTTATAATAGCTATAACTTTATTTCTAAGGATTTTTTTTATGTATTGGTTATGACATTCCCTTTAGAACAAATAAATCATAACCAGAGAGCCCTCTAGCTGTAGCCTGTACCTTCTCCTTCTTATCGATTAGTATAAATGTACATTATAAGTTGTGTATTTAATATCATATAAAATATTTCATTAGTCATTGTTATTCATTTTTTTATTTTGTACTAAAACTTACTTAAACGGTTTCTTGTAGTTTAATTATTCTTTTCATTAGAGTTGCTTCTTTATAAAATTACTTTCAAATAAACGTTTTGATGCTATTCTGTGGATACTGCACCTCACTTTGCACTTTCTTACTGTGCTGGTTTATACTGTGTTTGGTTTGGACGTATTGAACTTAGATACGCGTTTATTTGAAAGTGATTTTATCACTTTCAGTAGTAATAATTCTTGTAGACCCGTGACCTCAAAGGGCCGTTAAGCTTCAATGATGAATATAAAGTATAATGCTTATACCTGGAAAAAAACTACAAGGCTTTACACGCGCGCAAAACTGCGCGAGTGTTTACAAAACAATCTTGTTTTTCAATTACTTTTCCTGTTTACTAACTAAGTATTTTTTTAGAAAGATAATCAACATATTTATATTGTGACGTACTATTAATATTATAAATATATATATAATATTAATTATTATTTCAACAGTTTAACCTAATGTTCTTCAAATATACGCTAAACACACAAAACAAAGAATTTCGAAAATGAGTGAAAATGGTAAATCGTAACGCCTAGCGTAAAAAGTATAAATCATGTACTTGGAAAAATAGCAATGTTTTATATTTTCCGTTCGGACAAATGGATTGAGAAAAATGAATAAAACAAAACTCTTGTACAATATCAGGGTAGTTAAGTATTTTTAAGTAATATTCTGAAAATTTAACTGAGAACGCTAACCACTATAATTAATATTATACAGGGTGATCTAACTAGTGTAAGACACTCATTTTCCCAGAAAATCTGAACATTTTGAGAATTTTCTTTTTGCCTGTTAATACTTATTAAAATATGTATATACATATTTTAATATTTAGAATATTTTTATCATCAATTCTTACAAGTAAAACAAGTCGCGCATTTGGTTTTTAAACGGGAAGGTACGTTTTTAATTTCATAAATCTAAAGACAAAATTTAATTAAAGTTTTATGTAGTTTTAACCCTTTCAGTACAAAATTAAATTTATAGAATATATTTTGATAATATTCTCATTTATATAAAAACATGCGGGAAAAAAACATTTAATTTATGTGAATACTTTTTTTTCTATTGTTCTTATTATCTCATACTATTTTTTTTTAATGGATGCGTATTCAGTAGTTTTCTTATCTAGTGTAACTTTAATATATTATGTATAACAATTGCAAAACAATGAATTCATTTATGATTATTTAATTTATTAATGTAGACGTTTCACTTCTATTTTTCTAAATGTCGTTTTACAAAAGACGAGACTTATTCCTTGTTACTATTTTTCTTGATTTTACGACGAGTAAATTCAATTAAGAAGTCTGATGTTAAGTTAAAATTTTTATAATGAAATTATTTTAGGTTTGGACTATACTCGATACTATGGAAATTCAAGCGGACCGTTGGCCTGTGTTTTTGGACAATTTGAAAAGCAATGCTAGTTTGGACCACTATAATATACTGATGAAAGGTCGGTGCTCCTCGGTGTTTTGCGAATACTGGACACATTGGATCGTGCAAACTGTCTTATTATTCGCGTACTTTGTAATCTGCAAGTATTTAGAGGTAGATAATTTTGCACACATAGTCAGATCTACAGGGTGTGTGGGGTGTGGAGTGTACTAGGGTACACTCATATTATGTCAAGTAAATAGAACTAAAAAAATATACACATAAAAGTAAAAAACTATAATACTATGTTATTCATTAATTGTTTTTGTGACTTTTTTTTTGAAACACTATAATTTATGTCGTTGAACAAAATTAGACAATATTCAAATGTTGTCAATTTTATGTAATTTTCAAAGCGACTTGCTTTTGGCAACGTGTACTTCTGTTTAGTTTATTTAATTAGTAATAATTTGCTGATATTGTTAACTAAGCAATAACCAAGTCTTTGCTTTTAAAGATGTTAAAAATTAAAACTTAGGAAGACAATTATTTTTAACATGATCTCTGAAAATTATTACATAAAATATGAAAATATTTAGTAGTTGTATATTATTGTAAAATAGCATAAACAAAAATAATTTCAAATAGAAAACTCCAAAAATTGCATGTATTAATTATTATTCTTAAGACAATACGCTTGTATAAGGTGTGAATTAAAAAACTCTCAAACGAGGGTATATATATATATCCTCATACATAATGTAAAATAGTCAATAGTATATAATAGCCCATTTCTAGAAAATAGTTAGAAAAAAGTCATCAAGTTCCGAGCCATAGATATGAACTCTTTTATTTATAAATAAGATTTATTCTCTTGATATTAAGATGTACTAGGGCACACCCTGTAGTTTTTCCAATGCGATGTGGCGTACAATGCCTATACTTGTTCTGTATACTGATGTGCCTATCTTTCTCTGCGAAGTGGTCTTACTACGTGAAGTGTAGGGAAAATGCCGCGGATTGGAAGTGCCAGCCAACCAAATGGCCAAAACGAAACGCTCTGCTGAACGATATCAAAAACCAGTCTCATCGGACTGTCGTCCGCCACTGCCACGGTATCAGCTTATACCACATACTCAGTTTGTGGTGGACACAGTTTACTTTACTTGGAATGCGACGCTTACTCTTGGAACCAGTCTCATCGGACTGTCGTCCGCCACTGCCACGGTATCAGCTTATACCACATACTCAGTTTGTGGTGGACACAGTTTACTTTACTTGGAATGCGACGCTTACTCTTGGACGTGGTGGATTATTCAATGGCCGCTGGTATACTTTTCCCAGGTCTTTGTTTTTTTATTTGTGTACGTTAAACGATTTCTTGGTTGGCCCTCTGCTTAAAAATATAATCATGTTAAAATTCCATCTTCCTTACTGTCACAATAAACGCCATATGCCGTTTTCTAGCTGTATCCGTTAGTATCCAGACTCCTTTCCATCCAACTCCAAGGGTCCGAGGAGGTAAAAAGATCACAGCTTAACCCAAATGGACCTGAATTACCTACTCCTCGGTAATTATTGCAGTATGCAGTTATTATACTGATGCCGTAAGTGCAGTAAGTGTAATATCACAAATGCAGAGTCATAGAAGTTCTGCTTCTTCAGCTTTTGTAAGCTCTTCGCACAGTTATTCCACCACAAGTTTAATGCACCGGTTCAACACTCCGGGTTCCATAATTTGGGCATCCTCTTTCCCTGGATTGTGACACACCCTCTTCCTCCTGTTCCCTTACCGGCCAGCGACATCGGCTTTTAGCTATCCTAGGACGATATGGTTTGATGCCGCGCGGCCAATTTGTCGAATCTAACAATTTGCAAATCATCAGAGCCACGTGTCCACGTTGATTGGCTTAAGCTTACCAAAAAAAAAATTATTTGGTTCCGCAGGATTACGTTATATATTGGGTGCATCGAGCGTTTCATACACGGTTTTTATTCAAACACATACATGTCTACCACCACCAATACAACGCTCCGTACCCATGGGCCGCTTTTGCAGTACACCCGATTGAAATGATAGCAAACGTTTTAGCTCTGTTTTCACTGTTTTTCATCGTACCAATACACTGGGGTGAGTACACTCGGTTGCTGACCAATGCTGGAACACCTAACGTCATTTTATGCACGGAATATAATTGAATGTTATGTTTCATTGTTATTATTAATTATGATTTTCTGTATTTCATTATGACTACGGCCGTTTCAGTTCCATACACCACGATACAGTCGTACAACTTGTACCACACCATCCAACAACATTCTGGCATCGATTTCAAACCATCGTGGTGGCAGCTTTGGAGAGCAGACGTAATGTACCACGATGCTCACCATATGATCGGCAGAGTCAACTTTAGTCTGAGCTGCCACGTGTGGGACAAAGTAAACCATAACGATAAGTACTAAAATATTTGTTATAAAAAACGTGTACAGGACATTAAAAAAATCGCGTGACACCTGACTTTTTGATACCGTACTAAAGTCTAAAATTATAAAAAAATTGACTCGTGTAAAAACATTCTAAGCTCTTATCAAACAATAATAACTTACCGTAATTGTCGACTGGACGATAACCAATTTTGAATAACGGTTACTCTTAAAAAGTTTTAATTTAAAAAAACAGGGTAAGAGGTAGAATGCGGTTGAGTAATGTACACAGATAAAATAACCCAGTTGTTTAAAATTTAATCACGGATACATTATTTCTTATTACTTATCTCTTATCCCTAATAGCTTATCACTTATTTCAAATATCTTATCTTTTATTCTTATTCCCTTTTTTTCTAACTGAAAGTGAACGTGTAACGCGAAAAACTAATAAACTGATAACTTAAAAAGTAATAATTTAGAACTGATGACCGACCAGATATACGAGTATACATATTCATTTAAGTTTAAACGTTATCCCTCTTGCATCTAGGTAGATATAGGTAAATAACTAAATTAAAATTATAATAGTGTGACATAGGGTTTGACACATTTAATATCTTAATGATAATTTCATACTAACTACATATTGTCTTATGTAAATCAGTCAAGTGTTGCTCGTAATGTTTTGCTTACTATTTTTGTTTATAGATTCATGGTACCATGCATGAATCGAATCGAAACCAGTCTTCGAAAAAATCCAAGGATCCTTCGATAATTGGTCGGTCGTCGGCCAATAAGTAATGCTTTGTAAAGTAAAAGATTTAAAAGATAAAATATTTTAAAGGTAAAAGATTTTTTTGTTGATATGTACTTATATACAGTGGAAATATGAACAAAACATTTTACTAGAACTCGATTTTATCAGACTTGGTGTTGTTAAAAATTAATAAAAGATAGATATATATTTTACGTTAATAATCATTTATGCTGCTGTATAGGATTATGGTTTAATTAAAAAAAAAAAAATACACATATATTTTATTATAATTCTTTTTGGAGGACGTTATACCTCTTATATATTTTTGAGCTTGGTTTAGGTAAATTTTTTGTAAAATTTCAATTTTAAGCATCCCATGTAATTAATGTTGGTTTATTGTTAGTATTGCAAATAGATCTGTAACTTAGAAGATAAAGTTTTTTGTTTTTTTTTTAATTATTTAATAATTCATACATAATTATTTTTATCAAAAACAATTCAAACGTTTTAAACAAATATTAGCTTGTATTTCACGTTTATTACAATCACTCGAATTACATTCATCGGTAATTATTACTATCCCATCCTAGCCACTTCCTTTCCTACCATTTCACTTCGTGTCACAAAAGCGTCACTCACATTTTTGCCAGAACCCTAGCCGCAAGACGTTCGTGTTAAAAAAACGGCGAAGATTTGCTAGCAGTCATCAACGACTCGTCCTTGACTTAAGTGCGTGTCTTGGCCGATGGAAACCTCTTCAACGTCTTTACTTGAGGCATCTAATTTTGGTTGAGCAAGATGAAAAATCCTTATTTTTAAACCGCTTACGATTTCCCGGTCACCTTTCTAATGGCTTTGACGTGCCTCGAACAAGACCGCATGTGTCGATTATATCAAAGCAGACGACAAAACGTCTGGTGAGTGCAACTGTGAAAGTCTTGTTGATTTGTATGACCGACTGAAGGAAAAATAACAAGCATCGTAAAGGCGACAATATGTTTATTATTATATTTTAACTATAAGGATGGATACAATTAGGGTTAAAGTGTATTATTTTTTTTTGGGTAAGAGTTGTGGGGTCCTTAACAATGAAAAAACTAACTTCTGATTTTTAAGAAGAAAGTTGTACAGGGTGATTCAATTCGGGTGAGACACTGGATTTCTCGGAAAATTTTAGAAAAAATAATGTTTTTATTATTTTAGGTACAAAAAGGATGTTTATGTATAGGGTGATCCAACTAACGCAAGACACTCGTTTTCTCGAAAATATGAATATTTTGAGAATTTGTGTTGCCTTATACTTAGGTACATGTTATACACCGTTTTTCAATATTTTGAACATTTTTATCACCAATCCTTATAAGACAAAAAGGAGAATTTTTGTTTTTTTTAAATGGTAACATATGTTTTTGTTTACATAAATTTGTAGACAAAAAATTAAAAACCATATGAGCGTTTGAATTTTTATTTATTTGTTCGTTTGTTATGACTTTATAGAGATTTGATTTTTTGAATGCACTTCATAATATTTTCAATCGTTACTACAAAGGCTAGAAGTTTTATACGTCGAATGAAAATAATTTGACGTGTAACCGTACTTTGTATCGTAATCAGATATAATAAATAACCTGTAATCTAAGTAATCTGTAGATAAGAACCGTTTGTCTATCATTATTTCAAAATCTTTTATAGTGACTTCCTAGTTGTTAGAATGTTATCGCCAATTGGACAATGTCAACAAAAATATAAAATTTTATGTCCTGCCGGTTTTGGAAAACCAAAGAATTATGATAATTATTAAGAGGAAATGTAGTATCAAAGACTTTGTAGCTACAAAGTCATAGTTAATGAACAGATAAATAAAAATGAAAAATTCAAACGCAAACATATTTTTATATTGTTTTGTCTGCAAATGTATGTAATTAAAAAATATATGTGCCATTAAAAAAAAACGATATCCCCTTTTTTGTTTATAAGGATTGGTGATAAACATTTTCAAAATATTGAAAAATGTAGTAAATATGTACCAAAAAGTAAGGGAAAAAAAATATATATTGGTATATTTATATATATATATATATATATAAATATACCAATGAGTATAATAGTCATCAGACAGGGACATTTTTTTTACATTTTTCAGACTAAAATAATTGAACCATTACGGCAAGTGGCATTAACATTGATTAAAAATATCTTTGATTTTCGGAGTTAGTTCACAGGTGAAATCCCCCCCCCCTCCTAATCTGTACAATATGAAAATATAAAAGGATAGAATACACGAGTAACAGTAACAGTTTCTGACTTGGCCACAGTGTAGATATCACTACTTTGAATGGCTGACTTTTTTTGGAAGAGGGCCTGGAACTTATAAAATATAATATAATATTATATTAAATTGTTTTAATAAAAATAATCATTGTAAATCCAATACGTTCTCAGCTCCGCATCGATGCTATAAAATTATAAAGTTATTCCTACTTAGCTATCGCATTGAAGTTAAACAATGTCTGTTGTTGTCTGACATACATGTGTGGACAACAACATATGGTTCAATGCGTGTTTCCTATGACGCAAAATACTTATTCAATAGCAACCAATTGCCGAAAAAACATTTTTAACTGTCAAGTACGTACCGAAGCAAAAAATTAACTCTTGATACCCAATATAATACATTTTTGTTTACTGTGGTATAATATTTGTTGTTTGTTCTTATTGGCAAAAAAGAAAAAATAAGTATCGCTGTGTTGTGAACTGTGACAGTACAGTCTATGTTGAAGTTTTGCAAAGTTATAATCTATTTTTAGCTTATTTACCATGATACTGTACAAAAGTTTTGTAATATTCATTTTTCTCAATTCATTTGTCCGAACAGATACGATAAAATATTGCTATCTTTCCAGGTACATGCTTTATATTAAATACTTAAATGAAATATAGTATTTTTATGTGAATTTTGCAAATTGCTACGACAATTTGCCAAGAATTCAAGAAAAATTGACATACAATAATATATGATTATATTATTAAAATTAGGATGTAAAAAAAAACAATTTCTTAATTTCTAAAAAAAAGTTGTTATTTTTTCTATTTTCCAAACATTTCAAATTATTTAATTTTATTAGATAAATAGTATATAATCTTTATAGTACATCTAGCATGATATTATTGAAGAGTATAGTTGTATTTGTTTTGTTCATTTAATTTATTGAAACGAAAATCATTATACATTGCATTTTTCCAGGCACATGCTTTTTGTTTTCAAATTCTATGAATTTGATTTTGATTTGAGATTCAAAAATGGCAAAGAAGATTCTACAACTTTGGAAGAACTTAAAAAGTTTAGTGATTCGTTACGTGATCAAGGCCAGAACGTTTTGGGGATTCTCGATGACCTTTTGACGAAAAACTACCGACAGTCAATCAATCCACCTGATGACATGATGACAATTAATTTATACTTGAATAACGTTTTTAATACATTATTAGTACAAACCTACGACGAGGAGAAGAAACGAGTGCTGCCGGAGGATGAGGATAGTAAAAAAAATACTCATAAAAACGTTAAAAAATTGACTAATTTATTCAAAACAAGTAAGAATTCCAATGGCTCGTCACAAATTAAAGAACAACTGTCGTCAAATAGTCAAGAAGTACCGTCAAACAGTCAAGAAGTACCGTCAAACAGCCCGTATGATACGTTAATAGCTTATAAAAATGAATTCGAAAAGGCAATTGAAAAAATAATTAAAATCTTACACAATAGTATCCATATAAACTGTGGGTTTGCCTTGAGCAATAAATATTGGAAAATCGTAGAGCGAGATGAAATAACCAGAAGTGAACGTTACGATCAATATAACGCATTACTACCGAGGAGAAGTACTGTGAAAAATTTAATATACGTTACTAGTGGACATCATGAATTTCTTGAAACCACACCACTCCAATTATATAGGAACGCATTTGAAGATAGCGATTTTGAGATGAAAAAATTGATGATGCCTATTTTGCAGAGAAATACGTACAAGCGGTACTATCCGCGACTTCTCTTGTTCTACGATCTGTTGTATCAAGGCGAATACGAAATCGACCAAATGGGTTTGCCAAAAGATAACGAATCTGATGATTTGGCGCTGCTCCGAAACGTCACATTAGAGACGCAATTGGAAGACGGCACTCATCCCAACATACAGCTATTGTTTTGGCTAGCACAGCGGTTTTTCGACGCCAAGTGTGTTGAGTCGTTCCAACAGCAAGTGCTGGTAGCAACGGTGCATCCTTTGTTGTCAGTCGTCGGTTCTTACGTGATTTTGGTCAAACATATACTTTACACGGGTGACGAAAAGTTCAAAGACGTCGCCACCAGGGCCAAGTTGTTCCAAGTGATAATCGACAAATTGGGCGATTCCATACTGACTACTCTGGCCGGTTTCATAAATTTAGGCCTTTATCCGAAAAATGCTTTATATACGTTAAAAAGAACCGCACTGCAACTGGACGAATTAATCATGTACAATAACAAAGCAAACTTACAGAGGGGCGCACCGCACTTGATCAGTTTAGTTTATACTTTTTTGTTCGACCCAATGCGTATTAACATACTGAGAAAACCGTATAAAGACAAACTTATCAACATAAACTCCGAAGAAAATTGCAACAATGCCATAAATGCGGTAAAAATGGAAGCCGATTTGGTCGAGAAATACGTGAATAATTTGCAAAAATACAAAAACGTCTACCAAGGGGTTATTGATAATCAGTTCTTTTTTCACGAACGCATTTTTTCGCACGGGCCGAAATGTGACATCATAAAAGAAACAAAAAAAAGTAAATTACTTACAGTAACATACGGTCATGTTAAAATTAAAAATTTTCTCAGATTTGTTTGCAATTTTGTTCGAAAATGTTTGAAAACACATTCTACAATTCTACAACGAAATCATCTAATTTCCATTTAGTTATAGTATATTTTCGCTACAGCTAGTGATATTCAGGATTTATGGGCTGCTTTGTTTTTCCCTGTTCTTATTTTTATTGTTACCTTTTTTTTAGTCTTTACCACACAACCCGCCTCACTCAATTTTGAAATTATAACCGCTAACTTTCACTTAATAACACTAGTTTTACTTTAAGCGTCGCGATATTATTCTTATATCAATTCTTACTAATTTCTTATTTATTTTTAGGGTATAGCATACATGTGGAGAGCAGATCTAAAGTTCAATTATACCAACA